CTAAAATTGTTGAAAAAAAACCTAAATACTCTATTCTTCTTCCAGGGGTTGAAGCTAAAGAACAAAATAAAGAACAAAATAAACAAGAAGTTGTTGTCGTTGAAAAATTTGAGGAAGAATTATTATTACTTAAAAATGAAATTTCTAAAATGTTTAATTATATGAAAGAACATCAAAAATTAATTGATGAACATGTTGGAGAAGATGTAATATTTGATAACATTTTTTCATTTGCTCAAGAATACTCTAGAGTACCCTCTGTTCATTTAAGTTGGTATAAAACTTTATCAGAAAAACAAGGTGAACGTGGTAATTACGTTGAAGCTGGTATTTGTGCTGTTCATTTTGTTTCTTATATTTACAGGTATTTAAAAGACAAAATACCATTATTAAATGAAAATTATTTAACAGAAATTACAACAGATTTCTTGGATTATGAAGAACCTTTATTAAGAACTGATTTAGAAGAGTTAAGTGAACAGTCATTAGTTACTTGGGTATTCAAAGGAATAGATTCTTTCCAACAAGCAAACCTTCATTCATTTGCTATTGCTTTATGTTATTTTATAATTCCATATTTCTCTGCTAATCATGATTTTAGAAAATTAGCACAGACTCATAAAAGAATTAATGAATTATATAGTTATATGGTTGATCCTAATAACAGATATATTGGTTATTTCTATCTTGTTTCATTCTTTGGTACATTTGCTAATGCTGGAAAGAAATATGTTTATAGAAGTACTTTAAGAATTAAAGAATTCCAAGAGTTATTAATTAAAATGCATCCTCAAGGACAAATTCTTGAATCGAAGAAAGAACCTGATCCATCAAAAGCTCAAATTAGTGTTATCAATGTATCTCCATTTAATATTGGCAGTGATTCTACTAAAGGTGGAAGTGATTTCCCACATACTTCGACATTTTGTAGTGAAATTAGAGTAGTACTTGATGGTGCTAAACCTGATGTTTTAGAAAAAGCATGTAAAAAAAGAACTATTTTAAAACTAAAACATTCATTCCCAAGTGTATTAGAAAGAGAAGAGGTTATTGAACAAACAAATATGATGTTAACTCCAATTCAATCATCAACTGATGACATTAATTGTAAAGTCGAACAACTTGCTACTTTATTAGAAAAAAGAGAAGAATTAAGACTTTCTACATTACAAGTTTTATTAAAAGGTATTTTATCTGCAGAAGTTAATGGAGGTCCTGGGGCTATTTGCAAAACATTTTTAAATAAAGAAGGGTTAGATAAAAAATTATATCCTGCTGAGGATGTTCAAAAACTTTTTGATGTTATGCAACATTTACTTGATAATTGTAAAGAAGGACTTGCTATTCATAAAGGACAAATGAAAGCAGAAGCAGCAGGTTTACAAAATATTTTTGAATTAGGTTTTTTGCAATTAGAAAGAACAGTAAAAGAGTGTAAAGTCCTTGTTGATGAATATGTTAAAAACGAAAATTCAAAATAATTTAATTTCTTTTTTTTTTTCTATGAATTTCTCATTTTAAATTAAATTTTCTATTTAAGTAATTGAATATTTAGACTTCTAGAAGTTGATAATTTAGAATTATACAAACTATAAAGTATTATTGGTTTTTACCATTTTTCTTATTCATTAATTCTACTCTGTTCTACATTAAAAGAAATAACTTTTCTGTTAAAGATGAAATCTTCTAAACTTAAAATAAAGATTAAACTAATATTTTGAGATGTTGATTCCTCTTCTAATTGCAGCTACCTATGCACTTACTTGTGACTCTCTTAATGAAATGATGACTTATACTCCAGAAGAAGCCTTTGAATGTATTGACTCTATTCAAACAACTGAAGAATTTAACACTAAATTATTAGGAGATATTACAACTTTATTTGAGACATATGTTTACAAGGATATAGTAAAAAACCCACCACAACCATCGATTGACTCTAGTTATTTTACGTCAGTAGATATAGATGAACGTTTAAAAGCTATTAATGTTAAACAAACACAACTTTATTCATTTTATCAAGACATTCAAAGTTTATTCCTTGACATTCATGACCTTCATCTTTCTTTTTCACTTCAGTCCTATGAGAATAATACATACATCTTTGACTATTTCTATTATTATCTTCCATTTAATTTTAATATTGAATCAGATAAAAAAGTTCATTTAACACCAAATCGTGTTAGTGTTAATGTTAGTGTCCCTAAAATCTTTGAAAAGAATAAAGATATTGAAGTATTATCTATCAATGGTGAACCTCCTCTTAATTTCATTAGAAAATATGGAAATGAACATACTGGTCTTAAATCACCACATGGAAGATTTACTTATGCTCTTGAATCATTTAATTTTGGTAGTTTGGTAGCAAACCCATTCACTAAAGAATTCTTAAGTACTCCAATTGAGATTAAATGGTCTGATAATTCAAATATTACAGTCTCATATCAATTAATTTATGTCCCTACTAACTCTTTATCTCAAAAAGCACAAAAATCACTTAAATTAAGAAGACAAGGAAAAATATTTTCTCCAATAAAACCATATGATTTATTCCCAGAACTTAAACAGTCATTTAAAGGAGAATTTGATTTTGAAACTTTATTTTCTGATTTAGCATGTAAAACATATAAAGAAGAAAATAGAAGTATTAATTTGCTAGTACTAAAAACGTTTTATCCAAATCTTTTTGAAAAAGATAATTTTTTTGATGTATTTGAAAAATGTGTACAGCAATTTGATTCAAATAATTATCCTATTACTATTATTCTTCCATTAAATGGAGGAGGATATACTGACCTTGAAAGTAATTTTGAAAATGTTTTAGCACCACACGCTGATACTACTTTTATTGGAAGTGTTAGAGTTAGTAAAGGAACAGAAAATTGTCTAAAATTTGGTTATGCAAGTTTGTTTGCTGATCCAACAAATTGTTCTGCTAGATTTAATGAATCTGTCTTTTCTAAAAAACCAATTGGTTCATGGTATTCTGATCCAATTATTGATCACTATGGTGATGTTGAACATAAAAGAAGTCAACCATCTCTTGCTCCACCACAACAAATGCTTGTTTCTAGGTTAGTGAATAATCCAAGAAAGCCAACAGATATTGTTGTATTTACAGATGGTTTCTGTTATTCTGCATGTTCATTATTAACTAAAGGATTAAGAGAAAAAGGAAATGCTATTATTGTTGGATTTGAAGGTGACCCTGAAAATGAAAATTCATTATTTGATGCTGGTCAATCTCCAACATTTGTTATTGAAGATGTTAATACTTTGATATCAGAGGCCTTTGATTTAAATAAGTATGGAGGTTCAATGCACATATCTTTCTTT